TCAATATTTAAAATTTTATTAAAAAATTTTAAAATTTAAAAAAGTTTGCAGGCAAATTTGGCTGCAAAACAATTTAAAGGATAGCAGTTGTAATTTGATCCCTTTTTGTATCTGCTGCTAAAATTTAAATCATATTTACACCAATTTTATAGCTATTTGATTGGTATTTGATTGATTATTATTTGTATAAGTATGTAACAATGCATAAAATGAATTATCTGCTATAATTTCTTAATTGTAATTATTTAAAGTTAGAAATTTTGAAAAAATTATATTCAAAAATTAAATTATTAATTACTTATTACATACAATATAAGCAAAACAAACATAATTATTAGGCATTAAAGATGAGAAAAAATTAGAGATCTATTATGGTATTTAGCAGCAACCACACTTTGATGCTTACATGATGCTTCCAACAATCCAATAAAGCATGTACATGTACAAAATTTCATATTAACAGTATAGAACAAGTTAATACCTTTCTTTTGACTCAGAACCAAATATTCTATATTTATTTCACTTTGTCGAATATTTGCAGTTTTAATTGCCTCCCAACCAGGACACAAAAACCTTTTAGCAATTCAAATATGACCAGGATAAGAGTGTGCTATCCCAAGTAATCTACGTTCATAGTAATGTTCCATATTTGAAATAACAAATTGAAACACCTGAATGCTATTATATGCTTTAGTGCATACAAAAATAATACCTTTCAATAGTCCAAAACTACGTTTTATATAGTTATTAGTGTTATTGCCTCACATAGAAAGTCCAGAACAAAATAATACTGCTCAAAATTGCTGTTGGCTTCAAAGTAACTCAAAGTGTCTTTGTAATTGTGGATATATATAATAATATTTAATTTTTAATTTATTATAACTATCTATTATTTCAATTTTCATTAGTGTATATAAGATTCATTATGGGTATTTTATAAATTTTATCTATATTATGTTTTAAGTCATACAACCAGTGCCAGAATATTTGAAGAACATGAAATATACATAATAGTTTTTTGATTGTGGCTAGCAATGCCCTAATGCATTGCGTTCATGCTTTGAATCATTAGTAAGAAAAACTATTAAACTAGTACTGGGCCTATAGCCAAAAAATGCATGTTGAGAAAAAAGTAATCTTAGCATATTTATTCCATTTTCAAGAGTTGTTTTCAACTTATCTAATATTACAAGAAGACCCAAGAGCAATGCTTCTGTAATGCAACTAGTGTAAAACAAAGTGATTGATGTGTTTAATGGTTTGAATGATGCTAAGGCATCTACGTAACAAATTTCACATGATTGAGGAATTTTTTCAGAAACTCAAACCATTAAGTTTGTAACCACGCAGAGAATAAAAGCTTTTTTTGAATGTAAATCATACTCTTGAAAAACAGCATAACTTTTTCCAGAATTATTATAAGAGCTAATCTCATCTTTAAATCGTTGAAACATAGATGTGTCATTTTTTTCTCCTAGATAATTGTTGCAAAATTGTTTAAACAAATTTGATACATAGCTATGATTTGGATTTATTGTACAATTTGCTAGTAATTATATAAGTTTTTGATTATTATTTATGCTTAAATGAAGACTATCTTCATATGTATATAAAGCAGTAGCTGGTGAGTGTCTATTCTTAAAAAGTTCAATATATTTATTACAGACTTCATTTTTTACATATCTAAAACTAAGAGCTTTTGCAAAATAGATAACATAATTATATATAAATTTAATATTTATTTCAAGTGGATAATTAGTCTGAAGATACCACCATTCAAGTTGAAGATGAATAGTAGCTTTATATCCAGAATTTTTAATACATAATGAATTGGGAATTTTTAATATTGGATTTTTTTGTTTTTGCTTTACAATATTACTATGAATACAATAGCGTAATTGTCTAAAGATAACTTTTTTTTCTTGAATTTTATACCATCTAGTTTGAGGTATTGTCATTTTTGACACTACTTCAAAATCTACAAGCCATTTTTCTGCACCTTCAATACTATCAATATTTACTAAAAGATTCACTTCAAATTAATTAACCAAAAATCTTTTAGTTGTAATATAGTCAGAAAGTTGAGAATTTTATTAACAAAATAGTTATGATTTGGTGGAAGAATAGCTATAATATGTTCAAATAACTTGATGCTTGTTTCATTTGATATATTCATATTAAGTAATAGGTCTTCTGTATTCATAAATAATGGATCTTCCATATTCATGCTTATAACAAAATATGAAATTGAAATTTGATTGATTATTTAAAAAAATAGTTCAAATTTTAAAGAGAAAATAAATTGCTTCGAAAAGAAAAAAAGTAATAAAAAAAAAATAAAGGTGAGTTGCTCTAATTTATTATTTTATATATCAAATTTTTTTTTTTTTTTTTTTGACAATCATATTACAACTTTATTTTATATCATAGAATTTACATTAAAAAATGAGGTATCTATTTATAGCTATGCTATTTTAAACTAAAGTGTGGCTCACTTGGTTGCCAATTGGTACCTATATGCAACCTGCCAAAGTAGAATTAACCTCACTACTTTTCTCTTATCTACCTCAGATAACAGAATTGCAGTTCATTGGCCTGGATCTACAATCTGTCATGATCTAATTTAATTTTTGTTCCACCTAGACCATCTTCTGGTTCATATCTATTTATTCATCTCCTCTGTTACTATATCTACTTTTTCTTTAAAGATATCCCAGTGGTTTTTTCTTTTTTTCTCCCTCTTAAGTCTTTCCTTGGCAATATTTGGTGAATTACTCAGATCAGTTATGTCTGTCTTTCTGGTGTTCTTCGTTGTCTTGGGCCTCTTTTCTTTTTTCCTTTTGGGGTTTATCTGCAGCTCTTTTTCCCATTTTATAGTTTCTTCGCATTGTTAGAGCCAGATTTCTTCTTGAAAAAGGCTGTGCTACTTGTTCCACCATTCGAGTATTATTAGTTTTGTATCTTTTTTAGTGATTCCTGTTGATATAAGAGAGGCTAATAGGTCTGTTTCAATTAGTTCTCTTGCCAAGTAACATCTTTTCCTGTGTCTTTTCTTGGTGCTTCCACCAGCGAACACCGAGTAGATATTGTTTTGGGAGATCTTCTTTTTTACAAAGTCATCTATGTTCTCCCAAATTTCTTTTGCAATTGAATATTCTTTTTTTACCCAGTGTTGTTCATCAGTTTCGCAGGATGTTAGATGCTCAAAGTTTTCTTTTTCTTCTTGCATTTTCTGCAAATTGCTGTTGGGTACAAGTCCTCCCAGTTTCTTTTCTGTAATTGCAACGTAGGCAATAATCCACTTAAACTCTTAAGTCTGAAGCTTTATTTCTTATTTGCTTTAAAGGATCTTGCTTTTTCTTTTTTTCCTTTTTTTACAAGTTTCTAAATATCTTTCAATCCTGATTATCAATTCTTCTTTGATGAATGCTGTCCTTTTGGTTTGAAGCAAATAGCCAGTCTGCTTTGTGAAATATTTTGGTAAGCATTTTGATGAAGCTTCAAAGTGAAAGATCAATTAGTTGAGTATTCCAGATTGGTCTGAGTATTATTCCCTATATTTCATTTACGGCAAAGGACGTTACTTCTCTTTCTTGTGTATCTTTTTTTGCTACCTTGTCTGCAAGATCATTTAGAATATCGCCTGCATGTGCTTTTACTTTGTGGAGTTGAATAGTTATATTTTTAGTATTTAGTAGTTTAACAATTGTACCCAGAATGCTAGAATTCTTTGCTTTGTACCAACTTCTAGTACTTTTGGCTTTTTGGCTTTTTTTGATTACTTGAATTGCTATTTGACTATCTGTAAAAATATCTATTTTGCTATTATTTGGAGATATTAGAGTGGCTATAAAAATTGCTACAAGTTCTGACCTAGTTGAGGAGAACTACCCTTGTATTCTATCTTTGAGTTTTCTAACTATTGCATCTTTACTATCTAGTTGTATTATCCCATACCCCACTATGTGGTTCTCTATTCCCCTGCCTCCAAGTGAGCTATCTGTATAGTATGTTATTTCACTATATATCATATTTTCCTCTAGTGCCTGGATGAGTTTGCTTTGTTTGCTCAAATTTTCTATGGTGCTTTTGATTAGATAGGTTTCCTGTTTTTCGGTAAGGATTGTGTGCTCTATTTTTGTTTTTTCGCTTTTCTCTGAGGTTGTCTCTACTGGTGTTGTTAAGTCTTTGAGATGTTTTAGACTAATTGATGATACCCAACCACTCTCACTTCTTCTTTTAATCCAAGAACTTATATTTTCAATTTTGTTATTTTTAATCTTTAGGGTCTTACTGGTCAGGATTAAGTTCAATTCCAAAGAGTTGAGAGAATACAAATTTTCTTTGTCTTTCTCTTTCCATTCTATTATGTGTACTTTCTGGTTTAGAGGTTTCTTTTGTACTTTGCTTATAAATGGTGTTTTGCTGTTTTTTTCTGTACCTATTACCTATTCTTTTTTGGACCTCTTGTGGGATATTTTCCTTCTTTTGGACTTTATTTAGATTTTGTTTATCTCTTATTCTTGAGTATAGGTCTCGTGAATTTTTCAGGAGAGTTGGCTTGCTAGTACTATTTCTTCTAGCTTTCTAAACCAACTTGGGGTCTTCCCTTTTGTTTTAAATCTCTGAATTCTTCTAATTTGTTGCCAGGTGAATATGATGCCACCATGCTTTGTAGTTATTTGTTCTAGGCACCATAGGTTAAGTTTGCGGAGAGCTTGAGTACCTTTTTTCGGATTTTCTTCATTTAGTAGCGTTTTGATTTCATTAACTGCATTATTATCCAGAGTTATATTCTAGTTTTTTTCCAAGTCTGTGTTTTTGATATTGAGGCCTAGATTTTTGGCTGCCACTAGGATGCTTGTATTAAGGTTATTTTTTCATTTCCACTTTTAGATTTCTTCATTTCCTAGGAGCCATATTGGTACTGTAGAGTGTAGTATAAGTTGTGCATCTTTTAGTCTCATTCTTGTAAGATCTCCCACAAGGTTTGGGTTATTCGTTCTAATTACCCATTCTGTGAACATATATTCTGTGTGTCATTGCCACAAAAAATTTATTTCCCAAATATCATTCTGTAGTGGAACAGAGTTGGAAGCAGTTGAGGTTAGCTCTGCTTTCCATTTTGCTACTCTCAGTAGTGGCTGGTGTAGTTTGTCACATTCTTCTTTAGAGAGCATTAACATGTTTAGTCTATATTTAGCTCTAGGTAGTAGTACTATATTGTTTATGTATTTGATATGCTCCATAGAGATTTTCTTTCTATTAAGCAAGTTGGCTATTTGCTTAATTTCTATACCAAGCTTCTTCTTAATAGTGAACTTCAAGTCTGCTGCAGTTAACCAGACTTCCAAATATTGGGCTATTTCTTTTTTTGCTTTTGCTATAAGCTTTTATTTCCCTTCTTTAATAAGAACTGATTTTTCTTTTTTTTTATTTTTCCTGTTTATTACCAGGAGCTCCGTTTTTTTAATATTTATTTCAATATTGTTTAGACAAAAGAAGAATTCTGCTATGTTAATTATATTCTGCATATTTTCTCTAGAGTTTGCTAGAAGGGCGGTATTATCAGCATATGCCAAACCGGCAACTTGGATCTCTTCTACTTTTGTCTCCCCCAAGTTATTTCTATTGGCCACTCTATTCTTGCTTTTGCACCGTATTTACATTTGTGAAGTCTACAAAGCAATGGGTCAAAGTAAATTCTTTAGAGTAGGGGGAAGATCACTTCTCCTTGGTCAATCCCACATTTAGGACGGAACCCCTTTAATAGGCCAAACTTGGTGATAACTTTAACTTCTTGGTTTGTGAACATGTTAACTAAGAATACTTCAAACTTTTGGGGAATTTTGATTCTTTTTATTGCAAGTTGAAGCCTTCTAAAGTTCATAGTATTAAATGCTTTTTTAATATCTAAGAGTGTTATTCACATTTCTTGGTTTTCTTGTTTCGTGGCTTCTATCAACAAATTCATAATATGTATTGGTTCTTGGGTACATTCTCCTTAAAGACCTGTGAAGTTTGGCCCTCTTAATATCTTGTGCTGTATGATGATATCACTAAGTCTTCATTGAATTATTCTTATAAGTCCTTTTCTTGCTGCTTCAAGTAGCATAATAGGCCTTGTATTTCTCATTTGTAAATCCCATTTTGGCAGCTTTGGGATTGGGAAGATCATCCCTACTTTCCATTTTTTTGGCATAGTCCTTTCTTCTAGAATTCTGTTAAGAAACTTTAAAAGGAAATTTGTGGCTTTTTTCTCAAGTTTTTTAAGGATTGTGTAACCTATGTTAGATAACCCTGGGGCTGATTTGTTAGAGGTTTTTTAAAACATTTCTTCCCATTCTTCTATTGTGATTTCATCTAGAATGTTATTATACTAGTGTTGTTGAATAAAATCATATGGTGTATATTCCTCTTCCCATGCTTCTATTTCTTCTTCAGGAGATTGTGTATCTTTTTTGAATTGATTTGCAAAATAATTATCTGCTTTCTTTTTGACATTATCTGGTTTATATATAAGCTCTTTCTTTCCTGTTGTGGGATCTGTTGTGGAAAGTATTCTTTCTATTATGATTTTGTTCCATGGTCTTTCAAGGATGCTATTGAGCATTTTCTTATCCTCTTTTCCAATCATACCAAACCTTCTTTCTATGTTGTCTCTTATTCTTCTTTTTTGCACTATTCTTTGTTTTGAGATCATTTTTTTCTCTATTACTTTTATCCAGCTTTTAAGATCCTGGATCCATTGTTGTGATTAGCTTTTCTCGACCTCTTGGATTTCAGTTTCATTGTTTAAGTTTACTTGTTCTATTAGGATGTTTAAGGAGGTTTGATCTTCATGTTTGATTTCTTCATTTAGATTTAGGCGACCTAAATGACCTATCTTTCTTAGCTGTTTAATCCACTTATATCTTGGATTCTATATGACTTGTTTTTGTTTTTCTATTATTGTGTTCTGGATCTTCTTATGTAGAATCGGTTTATTTGCAGCTTTATTTATTAGTTCTGCTAGTTTTTCTCATACTTCATTTATTCAGTTTTTATTTGACGAAAGTGGTATTACATTCTCTCTTTTGGATTTTTTATTACTAAATTCTTCGATATATTTCTCTAAGAGCAATGTGAAGTTTTTCCAACTTTCTTCAGTCATTTCATTATAAAGAAAGATTTTCTGTTAACTAAAATCTTTTCTTCTTTGCTATGCAATTGAGTTTGTGTGAAGTA